TAAGGTGTTACAAAACCAAAACATTAACCTGAAAACAGGAGTCATGTTCCTAGTTAGACTTTCAGATGGATATCATGAGCAGCATTCAACTCATTCAGAAATACTGAAGCTATCATCTATATATGGCTGTTTTCTGAGCTCAGTTATTAAAAAGGCTTCGAGTGAGTGTATCCTTTAAATCCTTCATCACATCTTGTAGACTGGTACTACAAAGTCACAAATGAGATTTACCAAATAATGAAAATTACTTGAAGACATCCAAAAGGATAGAACATGTAAGTACAAGAGGAAATAATGATCTAATCAAGATGTTAACTTTCCACACTGACTAAAACAAAAAGTTTGGAAGGAAATTCTCATCAATACTAAAAAGAGCTATAATAGTGAACTTTAGAAAAAGCTGTTTTAATAAAAAGATTTTATAAATTTTAACCAACAGTAACACAAACTTTCAGTCATTGAATGATGAATGTTTCTGCATGGAAATGATTAATCTCACCATTACCATATATATATATATATATATATATATATATATATATATATATATATATATATATATTATACAAATAATTGTCTTATTCTGTCAGAAAAGCTTTCTTAATTATTGACCAATCATTCTCTTTCTCATTTGCAATTTGTTTTGATAGTAAATATTTCTATGTTATATATACAGAACATCACACATTATTAACCACTTCATATTTTACTGATATATAATTTTTTTATACTAATGTTTACACAATCTCACACTGTCCACTGACATGAGATTGAATAAATACATTGAATCAATAGCTTCATCTACTGCAAGGAAAGTTGGCTCCCTGTGTCATGCCAGAAATTTTTTCTTGTCTGAGTCCATCCTTCAAATCTATAAATCAACCATCCATACTTGCATGGAATATTGCTGTCATATATGGACTAGTGCTCCCGCTGTACATCTCAAAGTCCTCAACAAAATCCATAGATGAATCCACAGATATGCCATGGCTTCCCTCTGTCTCTTCTACAACTCTTCTGACTGGATACTTTTGCTGGTTACCAGACTGCATGAATTTAAGCAAGCTACCAGGCTGGCATCTCAGTCCCACCCTTCCACTGTCAAAATGGTTAAATGTAACCGTCTCTTCTACTCAAACAGTTTCTTCTCCCACACTTCCCATCTGTGGAACTCCCTTCCCCTTACTTGCTTCCCCAATGACTATAATCTTCAAATATTCAAGTGTAATGTCAATCAACATCTGATACCCTGAGCTTGTTCCCAGTCCTTCTCTGTATCCTTTCCTCAAACATGTCTCTTTACTCTTGTTCTCAATCCTCTGTAACCCCTAGCATGCTAGTGGCACTCCAATCTTGCTTAGGGTGAATTGCTTTAAAAATAAGAGCCAATCAAGGTAGTGGGTTACTGTTTAGTGTTGTATGAGCATGAGAAAAAGGCAAGAACTGAAGTTCAAGGGGTTATGCAGAAAAGACAACAGTTAACACTAGACTCAAAGATTGTACTGATTGAGAAAACATCCCACCTTGTGTCTGTTCCACAAAGCTGTCCTTGGGAATAAGCTGTTCAGGTGGGACTTAGAATACAAAGGAAATAGAGATTATTCACACTTGTGTATGTGGCATGACAAGTCCCTGTTGTAAAAGTCAGGGCTGGTGGGACTAAAGTATGAAACTCACCATGGAAATAGTGATAGAGCAGCGAGAGGTTCACAATGTTTCATCTTTGCAAAAGGGGTGGAAAATAATTCATTGCCCACAAGTTTGCAGAGACACTTTTGAACTCTATCAAGACAGGCAAATGAGGACTGGGCAGTTCCAGACAAGATATGGCAATAATACTCCATTTTTTGTCTGATCTAGTTTTTGTAAATTTAGAGAATAGCCTGTGGAGTCAGATACTTACTGAAGTAGTACAATGTACCCAAACATTTCTCCAGACATTGAATATATGAGTTCCACTTGAGGTCTGGAGAGAGGTAGAGTCCCAACAGACATTAAATACTTACTGGAATATGAAGGATTATTTGCTCAATAATAGCAACATCTATGTGCACAATAAGGATGAAAATCTGTTTGTTCTACACAGCCAGAAAAAAACAGCAGCCATTTGTATGAAATGTTTTGAATTTCAAAATCTCATAGTCATAATGAACATTTGAAACTTTAAAATAGGTTGTAAGGCTGATTTAATAGATTCAAATAAAGACTGAATAACTCCAGAGCTTCTAAAAGGGAAAACAATGCTGGGAATTACAAAAAATAACCAGAGGTTCCACTGAACAGTGAAGTTTCTTGATGATTCTGGATGGCACTGATGCAGGTTAGGTAAGGCCAAGTCAAGGGCCTTCTTTCATTGATATATGGGTAATTTCAAGAGAGAAGTTATAATGAATCCATCATCAAGCTCTGACAGCAAGGAAGCATCAAAATATACAAGATATTTAATCCTAAATCAAATGCCAAAATACATGAGTCACTCTGCTTGTTTTAAAAGCCATCCATCCAGGAAAATTAAATAGAATGGTCAACAGGAGACATGAAGAACAATTTCTTTTTAAATATTGCTTTAAATGGACAAATGCTGTGTTACTCTCAATGGACTAGACTGATAGAACAAAAACTCAGTACATATACTTTAGGAATTTAAGTGCAGTACTAGATTGGCAACAAGGTCTCATCATTTTACATTTGAATTGGCTAGATGCAAGTTCTTTGCTAACAGTTTCCTTGCACTTCTCACTTGTGGAACTTCTTCTGGCTTCTTGCTTTCCAGTCAAGTTTGATCTCCAAAAATTTAAATGCAATATCAATCCTTATCTGCTGTCTTCCTGATTCATATTCTTTTATTGTTCTTGCTCCTTAATGTTTTTTTCTTTTTGTATTCTTTCACTCTCAGTAAACCCGTCCATCTTAATGATTTTATTGCCTTGCTTGTGATGAAATGATTTAAAAAAGTGACTATTGGCAGAAAATAACCTTACAGATAAAGACTTAGGAAATCACCTCACATAAACACTTAGCTGATCTTTTAGGGTGAAAGTATAGGTAGCAGTGGAAGACCCATGACAAATTCTAATAACTATCATTATATTGACAAATAACGATACTAGATGGAATATCTCACATGTAGCATTGCATTTTATTCAACTCTGGATTTTTTCAATGACTGTTGGTCGGTGGCCATATGGCCTTCAGGGTCTTCTCCAAACCTGGATTCTACAGCTCCCCAGGACATGAGAGACTGTCTTGTGTTCCTTCCTGTATAGGTGTTTATATATCTCCCTGTCATATTGTTTTCTCATGCAAGTACATCCTAGGTGCAGCTGAATTGACCAAATGTTTACATGTTGCTGCAGCCATTGACATTGAGTAAAGTGTGAATCTGTGCATAGTGGCTTGGGGGCAGGGGTCATCTCTCAAGTCAACTTGCTGATGCATCTGACTTCTTTGGTGATCTGGGGTGACATTGAGTGTAAAGTCTATTCTGACATCATTTTAGGTTAGTCTGGATTGTGATAAGGTGACAACTCAAACATGCACTGATTTTTTGAAGGCAAAAATGAAATGGTTCAAGGAGAAACCAAATCTTTTAGAAAGATGATTTTTAGACACAACATTACCCCCATCAGATACAGAAAAGCAAACTAATAAAGACTTGAACAAGATGACTTTCAAAGACATTTTATTTGAGGAAGTAGTCAGCTTGTTTGTCTGGCCATAACTTAATTAAAAATTTGTAGAATATTCTGAAAAGGAAATTTTACATTGATGAATGGTAGTTTGTTAGTATAACTAAACTTTTGAATGTTCTTCTGGATGCAGTCCATTTTATATGACTTTTAAAATTAGTTTAAAAACCTCTGTATAATATTAATGCTGTCTTCATAATTATTTACACTAATTACATGGGGACTATTGTTCTCATCAAGAACTAACACTTGAATCCACTAACCAGCCAGTTGATGAGCATCAAGATAGGTTTAAGGCTCCAAGTTCTCCATATGGAATAGTCTCAATAGACTAGTGGATTAAAATTTTGTTTGGGAATTTGGTGATATAGTAATTGTGAGTTCAATCCTTGGGCCAGGCACTGTACTTGGACTCAGTGGAAATGGGGTAATTGTAGTTCCTTTGGAATTGCCTCCTTATAGGTTGAATAAATCCATTGAGAAGATGCATCCTTGTCTTACACTCCTTTGTGTACTAAATCAAAACTAACTACATAAACAAATTCTTCTCTGAGATGATTGTGAACTAATGTACAAGTGTAAATGTTGCATTTTGGTAGGAGAAGCATTTACTACTAGTAATTTTCTGTTAATTATAAATTTTGGCTTCAAGACAGAACTTCTTTTCAGCTGGATAGTTTACCTCTTCATGATAATGTCCTCTTTCTTTGAATTTCTGTGCCTGTCGTTCTGTCACCTCTATACTCTGTGACCTATCAGAGCCCCATATTTATCAGTTTGTGTCTGGGACACAATGTACACACTACATTTTTTGTATGACTTCTATATAATTTCTAGGCAAGGTAGCTGCACTTCTTTGAAACTGGTCATTACATCACATATTTACTTAGGTTAGTATAATGAAACACCACATGAGAATTGTCTGACACAAGGCCAATTTAGTGGAGCACCAAGGGATGTTCTAATACCCTACACTCATGCACTGGTCTGAGAAACATGGTTGCTTATCAGGACAATATATTAGGCACACATAATAATTTATTATGTTTAGCTTTGTCTGACACAAGGCCATTTTATATAGCAAAATGCAAGGATCAAATTCCCAACATTTGTGTATTGTGAATTAGGCTCATTTATCATCACAATATATTAGAAGCCCATCTTATAATCATTTACAAAACATAGCTTTGTCTGGCACAAGGCAATTTTAGTAAAGACCAAACTCCCTACACTTGTGTAATAATCTGGGAAATATGGTTGCTTATCATTACAATATATTAGAAATCACTCTTATAAACATTTTGTAGGCTTACACCCATACCACATTGAAACACCGGTTCTCATATGATCACTGAAGTTAAGCAATGCCAAGCTTGCTCAGTATCTAGATGGGTGATCACTTGGCACTACCAGGTGCTGTAAGCTTGAATGTGCAAGTGTTGCAATAGATAATGGCTTGGATTTAGAAATTGGAGAGCCTTGTTTCAATTCCAGTTAGGTTTGTTATATTCACTTATATGCAAATAGCATTGGGAAAGATATGGGTTAATTAGTAGGGCTTGTATCAATAAATTATCTCAAAAAGTTCTTACAGTCTTAAAACATTTTCCTGGCTCTAAATAACTTGCAATGGGTTGATAATCCATAAAAACAAATCAGTCAATCAATATGATCATTTTGTAAACTTAGCTTAGTTTGGCGTAAGGTTATAAAAGCAGAGCACTCAGTAAGTATCACATTTACTACCTTTGTAAATTGACTTATGAAATCATAACAATTGCATTCTGATAATGAACCTGAAAAATCTAAGTACTCACCAATTAAAATAGACATAAATTCATTAGGAAATAAACAGAATTGGATATTTTTAGAATGATAGCATCACAAAACAATTAGTACTAAATTCAGGATAACGTCTAGCAGCCTCAGTTCAATACAGCCCCACTTACAATAGACATGAACAAAAAATTCTTTGTAGCTGTGATTGTACTGTATTTTTCTCTTTGCTCTTCTAATACCAGTAAATTCTCATTGAAAACACTAACAGTGATTCCATTTTACTAACATTGTTTACTAATTAGGGTTTCCAAAGTAAGATTCTTTTCTCTCAAATCTATCATTCACACAAAAGTGGTATTACCTGCATCAGCAACTCTGTGATCACCATGGCAACCTTAAATTTGAAATGGTGGGGGGGCTGAATAAGGGGAGGGTGAAGAGATTAGTATTTAGTGAGTTATTTAGTAAGTTGTAGTGGGTAAGTTGAGTTTCCTATCTTCAGTTGGCAAGATGAGAAGACCAAAAAAGTTAAAAAGATACATATTCGTTTTCAGACAGATTTGTAAAGCAAGAAAAAAAAGAAACCAAAAAATTGCACCTCTACTCCAGTTCCATTAAGAGAATGGAAAGTTAAGTAATTCATGGCTACTGATCCCAACAGTAATAGAGAACATGAGAATAAAGAATGGTAACAAGAAAAACAAAATTTGGCAGGAAGAAGTAAAAGGAAGAATGGTTGTCTGATGAAAGTGATGTAAATTACACAACCACAAAACAGTAACTTTGATACTAGTGAATAGGACGATTAACACAGGTTCTAGCATTGATAGTCATAAGAATAATGATGGAATGGTTGGAATGTTAATATATGTGACACTGTAAATAACAATGGTAGTAATTTCAATGGTATTGATTTTGATAGTGCTACTTATAATGGTAAAGGTGTGAATATTTTTTTAATCATTTTACTCCAAGCAAGAAAATAAAGCCATTAAGACATAAGGGGTCACAGAGTGTGAAAGAATATGAGAGAAAGAAAAAATTTTATTAAGTAGAAAAAACAATAAAAGAACAGGAATTAAGAAGACAAAAGATAATGATTTACATTGCATTTAAATTTTTGAAGCTCAAATTTGACTGCCAAGCAAGTGACCAGAAGAAAGTTCTAAAAGCGAGAAGTGTAAGAGAAGAAACTGTTAGCAAAGAATTTACAGTTACATAAAGCCATTTCATCTGTAAAATGATTAGACCACGCTGCCTATCTAGTACTGTACTGCATTTAAATTTGTAAAATTGAGGTACCAAAGAAGAATGCTCATCAGAACAATTACCATGAAAATATTTATAGAAATGACACAGGGAAGCTATGTTACAGTGGTGGAAAAGTGACTAGATCTTAGATGCCAGGTTAGGACCAATAACATTGCAAATTCTTCTTTGGATTTTATAAAGAATTTCTAAATATATAGCAAAAGCACCAGACCATATGTGACAGCAATATTCAATGCATGGATGAATAGCAGATGTATAAATGTGCACAATGTTTTCTGGCATGGAAAATTATCTAGCATGACACAGCGAACCAACTTTCTGAGCAGCACTTGATTTGATATAATCTTTCCACTTCATGCCAATGTTAGCCCAAGAAGGCACAATGAGTCATGCTCATGGTGGTTGACCTAAGCCATGCTGATAGAAAGCAAAAAAAGGTTCTCAAAGATGATTAAGAGAAACCAGTTTGATTTTGGAGGCATTAAAATTAACAAACCATTTCTTGTTCTAGTTAACATAGGAATGATTACAATATTAATGGTTTTGTTTACAATGATGGTGTCTGTGTTAATGCCATTAATATTATCTTTACTATGGAACTCCTCCCCAAAAAATAAATTGTTCAAAATTAAACTAACTACAGGAGAATGGCATAAGAAACACCAAACTAAAAGAGAAGAAATGATTATGTCCATACCCCATATTGGATATACTACATAACCCATCCGTATATCCTAAAAAAGAAAGATCCTCTGGTGTGCAAAGTGCCACTCAACATAAAACATATACTGATAAACTGCAGCAGTTTTAATTCAATCCACTTAAAATGCTACCAAACAACAAACTTAAAAGAACTTTTTCAAAATACTGATTCATTTTACATATTTCAGTTCTTAAGAGAAATTGATTTCAAAAATATAATGAAAAACAAAATAATGATAACAAACAGCAATCTTACTATCCAAAATAACATTTTTTGATTGTTTAAATACAAGACTATCTTTAAAAAAACATTAAATTTCAGCCTTAAATGACCCAATGGGTTGATATACTGTAAAAGAAATCAAACCATCCCCAACAAAATACTTCTGTAATGGTTTCCCTTTTTGTATTCTTCTATCATTCTTCCTTTCTTTGATGTTTCCCTCTATTTTTTCTTCCCCCCTCTCTCTCTCCCCCCCTCTCTCTCTCTCTCTCTTTCTCCACTGGCTTCATTCTTACTTTTCTTCTCTTCCCATTTTTTTTATATAATCCCTTTTCATTCTTTTATCTCTCTTTTTTTCCAATCTCTGCTCTCTTTCTTTCTTCTAACTCATTGTCTTTCTCTAATGCCTTCTCCATTTGTATTCTTCTATCTTTCTTTCTTCCTTTCTTTCTTTCTTTCTTTCTTCCTTTCTTTCGTCCTTTCTTTCTTTCTTTCTTCAGAAGTTAATAGTGATGTATGATTATTATAATGATGAAAATTAAAATTAATTTTTTGTCAAGTATATTATCATTTTGGCTTGTCTTCACAAAAATTTAGGAAGGAATTCCAAATATTTTGCAATGTGAGACAGGCAAGGGTTTCAATAGCAACTGCAGGAAAAGGTCTGTCAACCACTGGGTGTAACACATAATTAAAAACAAATTATAATATAAGATAATATATTCTTAAACAAGAGAAAAAAATTGTATATTTAAAAAAAACATTTTGTTAAAATTAAAATAAGAAAAGCAGAAAAAGGACATTGAATAAAACAACCCTTGTTATTTTCTTTTACTTTCACCCAATACAAAACTCAAGAGCCACTCAAGGTAGAGGATTTCTGATTGAGGTGTGTAATATGAATGTCAGAATAGTAAGTAGACAGTGAAGATTCTTTTGATATGGAGGATAGATAACGATTGACCCTTGACTTGAAGAGATTAAGAGTGTGGCATTCAGGGAAACATCCACATGGGAGTCTGTACCACAAAGCAGAAAATTTTGGAAAAAGCTGTCTGAGTGGAACTTCCTCATTACAACTGGAATATGGAGGAAATGGGGGTGATTTGACTCCATGTGATGCAAACTGGAAAATATATCATTCTCCACAAGTCCAAATAAATGACTTTGGACTATTAAGGATTAAGAGTGAAATGGGTTGCTTGTTCACCATTTCAGTTGTAATGTTATTGCTGTAAAGACTAATAAGAAATAAACACAAAATTTTCATATGGAAAATTATTGTTTATTCATGTCTGAACTTCATCAGTTAATGTTGGCATGAAGGTGTGCTGCTTTGGGGACTTTCTTCAAATGTTGGTCTTCTTCTCACAAGAACAAGAGAAACTCTGACTTTTCCCTCTCAAGTAGGCAATTATATAACTTCCTACCCATGTTGTCACACATATGCACATCCTAAACTCAGCTGGGTTAACCTTCTGTTTGGATGTTATGGTAGTCATTAACTTCCTTTGATGCCCAATTCAGCACCTGGTAGCTATGAGGTTACCTTCCTGGTCAACCTTTTGATGCTCTGGTATAACAGAAATTACAATGCCTATTTTAATATCTCTTCAGGTGAGCCAAATAGATATATTCCAACCTCAGGTATTTCCTGACATGAATTCTATATTACTCAATGCTTCAGGTATAATAGTCCAATGGTTTTAAATTAGGATCTTTAGAAGGCCACTTGTTGAGTTGACATGTGTATGAAGTTACTTGGCTAAGCATTCCTGGTTCACACAGACATACAGTTATATCCACATCCTGTTGGGATATGTATTGCTTCCTTTGAGCCACCCATTCATTCAGGGCTTGATCACCATATCTAACACTTCAGTTTTGGTAGTGTCACTGGCCCCCAGACCTTGCCAGAAGTAGAGTAGCATCACTATTGCTACTTCTATGTCAAGTGTTCAGATGAGCTATATTCCTTAGTTTTACTTTTACAGCTAGGACCTGTCATGTCACATACACAGAGATGAATCATCCTCATTTCCTTTGTATTCCATTAGTAAGTAGGAAGTTACTCTCAGGCAGCTTCTTCCTGAGAGCTGCTACTTTGTGACATAGACACTTGAGAGGATTCTTCTCTGATCATTATGATCCTTATAAACTGCATTTACTTCTAAATGACCATACAACAACCTCAGACAATAAAAGTCTACTTTGATTGGCTCTTGAGCCTTGTATTTGGTGAACATGATTCCTCTTATTAACCCCCTGAATCAAATGCTCATTAAAATGCTTGAACTTATTCAGCAATTCACTAAAATCTGATCTCACTATTCTCCCAGTTTTGTCAGCTATGAACTGCCCACTCCTAATCATGTTCTCCAGTCAATTCCTGACCATGAATCTGAAGAACCTGGCCATCAGGCTATGTTAGGGTTGCCATAGTTGTC